GAGTGTGCCCTTGGCACGGACGTCCTAGAGGACAGGCAGGAGGAGTTACAGTGTCTAGCGGCTGCTTCACCTCATCTCGCGTCTGTACTGCTTGCCCCTGAGGGAGACCCGGATGCACTAGACATCCCGACTCCGCGTTCTTACGCGGAGGCCGTAGAGGGTCCCTACTCCTCTCAGTGGCAGGCAGCTATGGATGCAGAGATGGCTTCCTGGAAGTCCACAGGCACCTACGTTGACGCGGTTCCCCCTCCTGGGGCGAACATCGTCAGTGGCATGTGGATCTTCAGGGTGAAGCGGCCGCCGGGCTCCCCGCCTGTCTTCAAGGCGCGTTACGTGGCTCGTGGCTTCAGTCAGCGGCAGGGAGTTGACTACTTTCAGACCTTCTCTCCCACCCCGAAGATGACCACTCTTCGGGTGCTGCTGCACATTGCCGCTCAGCGCGACTACGAGCTTCACTCTCTCGACTTCAGCACTGCGTTCCTGCAGGGTAGCCTGCACGAGGAGATCTGGCTGCGCCGTCCGCCTGGCTTCACTGGGACTTTCCCTCCTGGCACCCAGTGGAGCCTCCGACGGCCAGTCTACGGTCTCCGCCAGGCACCGCGTGAGTGGCACGACACACTGAGGACTACGCTTGCGGCTCTTGGGTTTGCTCCTTCTACTGCTGACCCGTCGCTGTTTCTTCGCACCGACACTTCCCTGCCGCCGTTCTACATCCTCGTGTACGTCGACGACTTGGTCTTTGCCACAGCGGACACTGCTGGACTCGCCTACGTGAAGTCCGAGCTGCTGAAGAGACACACGTGCACAGACCTGGGTGAACTGCGCAGCTACCTTGGCTTGCAGATCACTCGGGACAGAGCACGTCGCACCATTACCCTGACTCAGTCACACATGGTGCAGCAGGTCCTTCAGCGCTTCGGCTTCACGTACTCCTCGCCTCAGGCCACTCCTCTGCCTACTCGCCACTCACTCTCAGCTCTGCCTTCGGATGAGTCCGTAGAGTCGAGTGGTCCGTATGCAGAGCTTGTTGGCTGCCTCATGTACCTGATGACCTGCACACGACCTGACCTTGCATACCCTCTGAGCATTCTTGCACGCTATGTTGCTCCTGGGAGACACAGACCGGAGCACATGGCTGCAGCGAAGAGGGTATTGCGCTACCTGTGCAGTACGTCGGGCATGGGGCTAGTGCTTGGAGGGCGGAGTCCAGTGGTCCTTACCGGCCACGCGGACGCTTCTTGGGCTGACGACCAGGCTACGCAGCGGTCGTCACAAGGTTACACCTTCAGCCTTGGTTCCGGTTCTGTCTCGTGGCGGTCTACTCGCTCGTCTTCAGTTCTCGGCTCCAGTTGTGAGGCTGAGATCTACGCCGGGGCCATGGCTGCACAGGAGCTTCGCTGGCTCACCTACCTGCTGACCGACCTTGGAGAGCCGCCTCGTTCTCCTCCAGTGCTGTACGTAGACAACAAGGCCATGCTGGCCTTGTGTCGAGAGCAGCGCTTGGAGCACAGAACGAAGCACATTGCTCTCCGCTACTTCCTTGCTCGTGAGCTGCAGCAGCGTGGTCAGTTGCGACTTGCTTACGTGGCCTCTGAGGCCAACACTGCTGATGTGTTCACCAAGGCACTTGCGCCTTGTGACCATCAGCGCTTTTGTACCCAGCTGGGTCTTGTACCTGTCTTGCCTCACTTGCTCTCTTCTTGACTTTACTTGTACTTTGTTATATATATGTCTGTACTCCTGCATGTGAACTGGCCTCTGGCCCTGCTCTTGTGCTCGGACTGTGTGGTGACTTTGTGATCCACCCTGAGCTTGCTTTGCTTTGCTTTGCTTGACTGGTCTTGTGACCCCTTGTTCTCCCCCACTTTGCCTATGGGGGTGTGTCAGATTATTATGGCTGATGCATGTTTGTAGGCTATAGTGGGGTAGCACATATGGGGTACAGTTTGCTAGGGTTGTATTTGTACCCAACTCTGACTTAGTCAATTCATTCCTGTTCTGTTAGTTTCACACAACTGTGAGCTCGCATGAAGACATTTGAGCTACATTGGAGCAACATGCGAGTCTCATTGTTACAAGTGCAATTTGAAGACAGTTTTTAACAACAGGAGGATATAGCCAAATGCTCATCACAAAAACCCTATGCCAAGTTTGGACGAAATTTGATTGGGGTTGTCTTCACGTAAAAAAATCCGGACCCAATTTCGACCGACGGTTGGAATCATTTGATAGGAGCTCCGACACACATCTCGCGAGAAGTTTTGGCTCGGGTCAAGTTTCAAATTGGCACGCGAGCTTTTCCGAATGACATTCAAGCGCAATCCGTTTTGGTGCAATTTCGGTACCAAATTTTTTAAAACTGGATTTTGGTTTTGTTTTATTTTGGGTATTGAGGATTTCAGAATTAGAATCAATATTCCAAGTTACAACAACCATTATTCAGCATTCTAACAACCAGCTGTTTTAGCACCAGGTCAAATAGCCTACGCAATGCTGGGCCCTGCAATCGCCCGATGGGCAAGAATGACATCTCCAAGGTCGCCATCGTCGATGAGGAACTTGTTCGGGAAGACGAAGGCACGCTGAGCCGGATCGTGTGGGATCCGCTGCTCCACGACGGCAAATTGTATCATCTATTTGACCTTGTCACGCCACTCGAAGTAGTCCGGCCTGTTTTGTTCCGGCTGGGCCGGAATTCCCTTGCGACGCTTATCCTGCAGAAGGGGCCACTCGATCTGCAATGTGGTGTAGGGTTGGGTGGATGGAGTATGGGGGGGGGGGTTACGGGTATATGGGCCAACTGAAAGCGGTGAAGATGACACACCCTACGTAACTGCAAACGCCTGAGCGACCAAGGATTTAGATGAAGTACATGCAAGGGGTTTAGAGGATGAGGCATGGGTGTACAGACACATATCTACATCCTTACCGAAAACAGGCCCCATGCCACCATGCGGCTCTTAAACTTGGTGAACACGACCACGCCCCTCTTGAAGGAGAGCTTGAACACATAAGCAAACAAGGGGTTGCTGAAGGGCGTTCCGGTGGCCTTGTCAAAGTGCCAGTTGAGGGCCCACTGTTCTGCATTTTGGAGGGAGCGTACGGGTTGGAAAGGGGTTGCAGAGAAATCAAGTAGCTGGGTGAGAGTCAGGGTGAGGAACACCGCATGGTTATTTGTAGCTGCCACCTGGCATATGGGTAGGGGGGATATGGTGTGTTCGAGTCGCATATACCATCTCTGTACTCGGCCAGGAGATCCTCGTGGTTGAACCACTTCTTTGGGTGTAGCTCAGTGGGCAGGGTATCCATGAGATGGGCGTAATCGGAGAGGCCCATGCCGGCGTACGTTGCTGGCCTGAGGGTGTTGTTGATTGTTGACCTGGTTGACGACATCTGGTGGTTGAAGATACCCATGGTTGACTTGTCGTTGTGCAACCACAGCAGCTTCAGTGACTCGAGCCCTTTGGCAGACAAGTGGACAGCGAACGCCTCGAACACTTCCTCCGGTGCAGGGTAGTACTGAATCTTCTTGGGGGGGTTCAAAAACAGGAGCTGAGAGCACACTAAGTAGGCTTTGTTCTGCGCAGGGGTGTGGGGTATACAACATGACATGGGGAGAGAGAAAGCATCAGTTATGACTGTGGCCGCGTGACCACAGGATGGACTGTGTGAACTTTTCACGTCACACCCTCCTGCATCCGCCACGTCCACCAACAACCAGCCCCCCGTGCCACGTCATACCCTCCCACCCCATGCCACGTCACCCCCCACCCACCTGACACACGTCGCCTTGTCACGCGCCGCTCCCGTGTATCATTCCCAACCGCCATGTCTGCCCCAACCCTCACATTCCACCACATCACAGCCCTTTGCATCCACCAACAACCCGCCCTACTTGCCACGTCACACCCCCACCAAGAGCCACGTCACCCCCCACTCACCTGAAACCCCTCGCTGCGTCATGCACCGCACACGTGTACCCTTTTAAACAGCCACGTCATCCCCAACACTCACCTTCCGCCACGTCACACGCACCTGCATCCGCCACGTCATTCCCAACCCTCACCTTCCGCCACGTCACACCCTCCTGCATCCGCCACGTCCACCAAACAGCCCCACGTGCCACGTCACACCCTCCTGCATCCGCCATGTCACACCCTCCTGCATCCACCACGTCCACCAACAACCAGCCCCACGTGCCACGTCACACCCTCCTGCATCCGCCACGTCCACCAACAACCAGCCCCCCGTGCCACGTCACACCCTCCCACCCCATGCCACGTCACCCCCCATCCACCTGACACGCGTCGCCTTGTCACGCGCTGCTCCCGTGTATCATTCCAAACCGCCATGTCTGCCCCAACCCTCACATTCCGCCACGGCACACCCTTTTGCATCCGCCAACAACCCGCCCTACTTGCCACGTCACACCCCCACCAAGAGCCACGTCACCCCCTACCCACCTGAAACGCCTCGCTACGTCATGCGCTGCACACGTGTACCCTTATAAACAGCCACGTCATCCCCAACACTCACCTTCCGCCACGTCACACCCACCTGCATCCGCCACGTCATCCCCAACCCTCACCTTCCGCCACGTCACACCCTCCTGCATCCGCCACGTCCACCAAACAGCCCCACGTGCCACGTCACACCCTCGTGCATCCGCCACGTCACACCCTCGTGCATCCGCCACGTCACACCCTCCTGCATCCGCCACGTCACACCCTCCTGCATCCGCCACGTCCACCAACAACCAGCCACACGTGCCACGTCACACCGTCCTGCATCCGCCACGTCACACCCTCCTGCATCCGCCACGTCACACCGTCCTGCATCCGCCACGTCCACCAACAACCAGCCCCCCGTGCCACGTCACACCCTCCCACCCCATGCCACGTCACCCCCCACCCACCTGATACGCGTCGCCTTGTCACACGCCGCTCAAATGGAGCCTTCGAAACCGCTTCGTCAGCCCCAACCCTGCCCTGGTTGCCACTTCAACCCCAACTTGCCCCATCTGGCCCGCCACATACCGGTAACGGGTTTGTCTCCTGCAACACTAGCACTCGTGCCTTGTCCACGGCGCTCATCGGCGGCGGGGTACCAGCCATAGGCAGGGCTGCCGACCCGCCGGCATAGCTGGCAGGTACTCCACGATGCAGGCCGAGCTGTGCAAACATGGCGTACATCTCAGACCGCAGCGCCTGGAACTCCTCCCGTGTAACAAACCGCTCGTGCTCCGCACTTTCACCTAGGGCACCCATGAGCGGAGGAAAAGGGTGTGAAGAATCCCCCATCTGGCCAAGGGGATCAGCATCTTCTGCAGCAGTCCCGTGTGCCCTCACACTATCACGCTGGCGGGAAAAGGAGCTCAGGGAAGGGATTGGTATAAGTGCCTGCCTGATGCCCGCGCGATAAACTGGCGAGGGGGGAGACCACCCTGCCCCGGACAGGAGAAGCGTGTAGCGACCGAAATGGGTACGAGGGTGAGGCGAGTGGGGTTTGCGTGACGGGGGCTGGTTGAGGGGATTCGGATTCCTCTCCTCTTGGCACGCCGGGTGCCGTTGCAGCGACTTTGCTCGGGCCGGGGTATGGCGTGTAGAACCTTGGTGCTCCTGTGGCTAGCGGTGTAATACTCGCTCTTCCGGCAGCCTTCGTTAGCTGCAACCGTTGCACGCTTACGGGTGGCCCAATGCCTGTAACGCGAGGGGCTGAGATGTAGAGGGAGTAGGATAAAGAAATTAGAGTCAACCGGTTTCAATACAGGGCCAAACATGCATGCATAACATCAAAGGTTTGAATCTAAGTCGGATTTAGGGTTGTACTGGTTTGAGACGAGGGTTTACCTTGCTTGGTAGATTCGTCGACCCTCTCTTTCCCTGCAGGGGAGAAACAATGGGAAAAAATGGTGTTATTTGGCACGGTTGACCAGATGGTTCAACAACCACGCCACTTGTATTGGCCACAACGCTCACCTTTCTGCTGTCCCTTCGGTTTTGGGGCAGCCTGCGCCTTCTCGTTGCCACCTTTCCGCGGGGTGCTTTGGCGGACGCTGCGACGTTTACCGGCAGGTTCTTTCTTGCCGGTACCGATTGGAACCCCTTTGCCGCGGCCACCCCCTCCATCCCCATTTGCTCCCTGACTCCCTTGCTTTTTACCACCCCCTTGACTTTCGACCTTTACCTTACGCGCCTTCTGTTTGCCCGCTGCTTCGCCGTGCGCGGCATCAACTGCCCCGCATTTTCGGAAAGGGCGAGTCCGGCCCTCCACCTTCGCTGTACCACTCACCCGTCTGCCACGCCCGCCCCGTCCCTTCACTGGCGCCACATCCTCCTCCTCCTCCTCCTCCTCCTCCTCCTCCTCCTCCTCCTCCTCCTCCTCCTCCTCCTCTGCTGCCTCCTCCTCCTCCTCATCCTCCTATTCGTCGTCACCCTGTTCCTCCTCCTGTTCCTCCTCCTCCTCCTCCTCCTCCTCCTCCTCCTCCTCCTCCTCCTCCTCCTCCTCCTCCTCATCCTCCTACTCGTCGTTACCCTGTTCCTCCTCCTCCTCCTCCTCCTCCTCCTCCTCCTCCTCCTCCTTCTCCTCCTCCTCCTCCTCATCCTCCTCCTCCTCCTCCTCCTCCTCCTCCTCCTCCTCCTCCTCCTCCTCCTCCTCCTCATCCTCATCCTCCTCTTTGTCCTCCCCGCCATCATTCTCATATTTTTCATCCTCCCCAACATCCGCGTCATCCTCCTCCGCATCCTCTTCATCTCCTCTTCCTCCGCATCCTCCTCCTCATCCTTCTCCTCCTCCGCATCACCAGGGTGTTCATCGCCCCGTTTCTGCCTCGTCCCCGTCATTGCTTTCTTGCCTCTCCTTCCGCCGGATGTTCTTCTTGCTGTGGGTCGGCCAATCTGGCGCAATGCTTGACCGCCCGCCTTGCCACTAGCTTCCTTGGCGCCTCGCGTTGTCCCAACTTCCGCGCCTCCGGCGTCATCAGCACTGCGTGTCGTCTGCCGCCTCTTCGCCCGCGTGGTGAGGTCCCCGGGCACGGCGGTGTCATAATCGTCCTCCCCATCGCTCCTCCTATGCCTACGCCTCCCCCGTCCACCAAAAGGAGGAGAGCCACAGACCTGCCCCTCCGACTCGTGCTCCCCCACCTTGTCCTTATCCAGCACGGCTGCAGAAACTTCGACCACAGTCGGCTGGAGCAGCGTCAGATGGTGTTGCGATGCCGGCGCCTCGGACTCCTTGGTTGCGGCATGCTCGGCGCGGGGATCGCCTCCGTGGTTTCCCCCTGTCGCCGATCCCTCTATCTGCACAGACTGGACTGCAAGACTCGCGCTCCCTGGCCCCGTATCTCTGTTGACGCCAGTGGTGACGTCGTTACTCGGATCGGGATCGGTTCCAGCACAGGCAACATCCGCTTCTTTGCGCACTGTAGAAACACGCTTGCGTGGCTTTGGTTTAGGCCCCTTGTCTTCCACTTTCTTGACGGACTCCTCTTGACTGCGCTCGACCTTTTTTTGGCGCCGCATTTTTCTGCCCAATGCCTGGCGCAACGGACGCATTAGTTTTTTTAGCGCCGCCACCGCTCTCCCTATCTATCTGTTGAGACGTCCTCCTTGTCGCGCGGCGGCCGGCCTGTTCCTCCACCATTGCTTGGTTATGTGTTGCACGAGTCATGGTCATCGTAGGAAAGAAAATTAGCACATCGCGCGGAAGGGTTGTGCCGGTTTCGAAGGGGTATTGCAACGGAATCCCACGATGGGATTATCGACGGTCGATCTTTGTTATCTTTATCCGAAAACCGCCGCTTCATCTAAAACTGAACTAGTAGCCACTAAGCAGAGAGCTATGGCCGCGACGGAGAGGCGTGTGTCAAACAGCGAGCAGTGTCAAAGTGTTGGACCAGGGAGTGACGGAAGCAGGTGGGTGGGGCACGAGGGTGGTTGGGGTGGGTTGCGAGACTAAAGAGATTACTGTAACCCTATCAGGCTATATCGGAAGGTGTACGTGTAGCCACCCTAGCATAAACCCACCAACCGCTCGATCTCAGCCGCTCATTGGCTGAAGTACCTCTTGGCTGGTGATTGTGTTGCGGGCCAACTCGTTTGAGATGCGTTGGCCAATCACAGTTGCCAACGCATCAATCACTACAATGGGTACAACGGTTGTGAAATGCCAAGTGCAAAATTAGTAAAATCCCTACAAAGTACAGTGTTGTCGCGAACGCACAGTGTTGCACATAGCAGCTAAATCAAATTCAAACATACAACAATAGATTTCATCAAACACTTGGTTGCAAATGGTTTAGTATGGGGCTGGGGTAAGTTTATCGGTGATTCTTGCGTCACACAGATGTAGTGCGCACTTATAGGCTTTGCCACATCGATTTATTGATAGCGAACGACATTCTAACACGATGATCAATAGTAAACGAGAATCATTTGTGATATGGTGATGGATTATCATCTATTCTTGCATGGACATTCAACAAGGTGCTTAGAGGGAGTGGTATGAAGCACAGGCCCTACGCACAAGCGGTGATGCGTTATCGACAGCCATGTTTAGACTGTGCGACGATGCAGCGTTCAGGCCTGCTGGGGATGCGCCACATGGTGAATCCGTTTGCATATGGCGATGGATTGTCATCCATTCTTGCACGGACATTAAACAAGGTGCTTAGAGGAAGTGGTATGAAGCACAGGCCCTACGCACAAGCGGTGATGCGTTATCGACAGCCATGTTTAGACTGTGCGACGATGCAGCGTTCAGGCCTGCTGGGGTTGCACGACATGGTGAATCCGTTTGCGGATGGTGATGGATCGTCATACATTCTTGCACAAACATTCAACAAGGTGCTTAGAGGGAGTGGTATGAAGCACAGGCCCTACGCACAAGCGGGGATGCGTTATCGACAGCCATGTTTAGACTATGCGACGATGTAGCGTTCAGGCCTGCTGGGTTTGCGCGACATGGTGAATCCGTTTGCATATTGTGATGGATCGTCATCCATTCTTGCACAATCATTCAACAAGGTGCATAGAGGGAGTGGTATGAAGCACAGGCCCTAGGCACAAGCGGTGATGCGTTATCGTCAGCCATGTTTAGACTGTGCGACGATGCAGCGTTCAGGCCTGCGGATTGCGCGACATGGTGAATCCGTTTGCGTATGGTGATGGATCATCATCCATTCTTGCACGGACATTCAACAAGGTGCTTAGAGGGAGTGGTATGAAGCACAGGCCCTACGCACAAGCGGTGATGCGTTATCGACAGCCATGTTTAGACTTTGCGACGGTCTGCTGGGGTTGCGCGACATGGTGAATCCGTTTGCGTATGGTGATGGATTGTCATCCATTCTTGCACGGACATTCAACAAGGTGCTTAGAGGGAGTGGTATGAAGCACAGGCCCTACGCACAAGCGGTGATGCGTTATCTGTCAGAATGTTATCTTATGCTCTAGCCTGTAGTGGGGTGCTCTATAGCGAGTACAACCCTTCTAGGGTTTGCTATTTGTATCCCCATTCTTGCTAGTGCAACCCTCTTCTTTCTTCTAAACTTTAACATGCTATCAGAGCAGGTCGATCCCCTTGGATCGATCCTGTGGGTGGGTTACCACCTCGCTTCCGCTGCAACTTTTTCTTCCCGCCGTGCGCCCCGAGGCGCGCGGCGGTTTTCTGCCCGCCGTGCGCCCCGAGGCGAGCGGCGGTTTTCTGCCCGTCGTGCGCCCCGAGGCGCGCGACGGTTCTCTGCCCGCTGTGCGCCCCGAGGCGCGCGGCGGGCTTCTGCCCCGTCGTTCGCCGCGTCGCCCTCTGGTGGCGCCGCGACGGGCGACGGGGACCCGTCGCGGCCCCGCCGACCCACTTCGCGGCCCCGCCGCCTCAAGTCGCGGCCCCGCCGCCTCACTTTGCGGCCCCGCTGCCCCATTTCGCGGCCCCGCCACCCTACGTTCGCGGCCCCGCCGCCCCACTTCGGGGCCCCGCCACCCTTCTGTCGCGGCCCCGCCGCCCCAACTTCGCGGCCCGGCCGCCCTACACCTGCGGCCCCGCCGCCCTACTTGCGCCCCGGCCCCTTTTCCCGTCGCCCGTCGCGGCTCCCTCGGGGGCAGCCTGGGGGAGGGGGGAGAGCGCCGCCATTCCACCCTGCCTACCCGCCATCCCACCCTGCCTGTGTTAGGGTTTGGGGGTGGCAAGTAGGGGGTGGCGCGTATGGGGGTGTCACTTCTTCATTCCTCCCTTTGCTCCTCCTCCTCCTTCGTCTCCCACTGCTGCAGCTGTCGCTGAGGGGGGTGGATGAGTGGGAGACTGGGGTTTAGGGTTTAAGGGGGGGTGCGTGGGAGTGGAGCTAGCAGTGTAGCAGCGGGTGTGTGCCAGGGGAAGTGGGATAGTTTGGGGAAGCTGAATGGAGGTTGCCGTCGTGTCGCCAGCAGCACCTGTATTCCGGGGACTTCGTCCGGTAGCCCAGTCGTAGCCAGCTGTGCCAGCCGCCCGTGGGTCCGTTGCTCGTCTGCTGCTACTTTAGCCGCGAGGCCAGTTACTCCAGTATTCCGGGGGCTTCGCCCGGTAGCTGCTGTGCCAGTCTGCCTCCTGTTGCCCGTGTGTCTGCAGCTTCAGCCGTCGCCTCCTATCTCCTCTCCTCTCACTCTCTCTCCTCCTCCTCGCTTGCCCGTTGTGGCTACCGCTAGCTTTGCTCATAATTGTACCCTTTAAACTATTGCTTCTTGAACTTGTGCTCAGAACGTGTGGTGACATTGTGATCCACCCTGAGCTTGTACTGCTTTGCTTCCTCTGCTGATTACACCCCACTTTGGCTATGGGGGTGTGTCAGAATGTTATCTTATGCTCTAGCCTGTAGTGGGGTGCTCTATAGCGAGTACAACCCTTCTAGGGTTTGCTATTTGTATCCCCATTCTTGCTAGTGCAACCCTCTTCTTTCTTCTAAACTTTAACATTATCGACGGCCATGTTTAGACTGTGCAACGATGCAGCGTTCAGGCCTGCGGATTGCGCGACATGGTGAATCCGTTTGCGTATGGTGATGGATCGTCATCCATTATTGCACGGACATTCAACAAGGCGCTTAGAGGGAGTGGTATGAAGCACAGGCCCTACGCACAAGCGGGGATGCGTTATCGACAGCCATGTTTAGACTGTGCGACGATGCAGCGTTCAGGCCTGCTAGGGCTGCGCGACATGGTGAATCTGTCAGGCTTATATGCTTTAGTCTGTGTAGGCTGTAGTGGGGCAGCTCATATGGGGTACAACACTTTAGGGTTTACTACTTGTACTCCTCATTCTGCTCAATGCATTCATTCTCGTTTCTCGTCATGGTATCGAGCAGGTTCCCTAGTGGGAACGCTACCTAGGGCCCACCAGGATACTTTTTTTTCCTGCCCGTAGCGCGCTTCACTCATGCCCGAGTCGCGCTTTGTGTGCCCTCCCTACCCTCGAGCCGCCCTTAGTGGCCCCTCTCACGGCCCCTTTGGCCGCCCTTACTGCCCCTCGCGCCGCCTTTAAGGCCCCTCGCGCCGCCCTCTAAGGCCCCTCGCGCCGCCCTTACGGGCCCGCCTAGGCCACTAACGGCCCCTCCGCGTCCCCGTCTACGCCCCTTGCGGCCCCGTTTAGGCCCCTCCGCGGCCCCGTCTAGGCCCCTTGCGGCCCCGTCTAGGCCCCTCCGCGTCCCGTCTAGGCCCCTTCGCGGCCCCGTCTACGCCCCTTTCAGCCCCGTCTACGCCCCTCCGCGGCCCCGTCTAGGCCCCTTGCGGCCCCGTCTAGGCCCCTCCGCGGCCCCGTCTAGGCCCCTTGCGGCCCCGTCTAGGCCCCTCCGCGGCCCCGTCTAGGCCCCTTTCGGCCCCGTCTAGGCCCCTCCGCAGCCCCGTCTAGGCCCCTCCGCGGCCCCTTTGCGGCCTCGTCGCCGCCACCTGCGGCCCCGTCGCCGCCACCTGCGGGCCCGTCGCCGCCACCTACGGCCACGCTGCAACCACCTGCGGCCTCGCCGCCAACTGCGGCCCCATCGCCGCCACCAGCGGCCCTTTCGCCGCCACCTGCGGCCACGCAGCTGCCACCTGTGGCCGCACCGCCACCTGCGGCCTCGTCGCCGCCACTTGCAGCCCCGTCGCCGCCACCTACGGCCCCGTCGCCGTCACCCGCGGCCCCGTCACCCTCCCCTAGCGGCCCTGTCACCGCTCAGCCGCCCAGCGACCGAGCCGCCGAGCAGCCCAGCAGCCAAGCCGCCCACCTGCCGAGGAGCCGAGCCGTCCAGCAGCCAGGCCGCTTACCTGCCGAGCAGCCGAGCCGTCCAGCAGCCGAGCCGCCCAGCAGCCGAGCCACCCAGCAGCCAAGCCGCCCTGCCGCCGAGCCGCCCAACAGCCGAGCCACCCTACAGCCAAGCCGCCCAGCAGCCGAGCCGCCCTGCCGCCGAGCCGCCCTACTGTCGAGCCATTGTTGTTCCTACTGGTGCTCCCCTGCCCTCCTTCCTCGGACTGGTGAGCTCACTTCCTACTAGGCCACTGCAGTCATGGCTACTCCCAGTGTCCTTACTTTTGATGCTGAGGGGCGTGCCGTTGACTTTGAGGTCTGGGTCGATGACCTCCAAGTGTTTCTCCAGTGCGATAGGGCAGACGGACTCTCTCAGTTCGATCTCACCTCTGGTGTCTCTCTTGCCCCGCCTGCTACTGCTGACAGCACTGTTCGCTCACATTGGGCCACACGCGATGCTACTGCTCGCCTTGCTATTCGTCGCCACTTACCGACGACTGAGCGTGCACACTTTAGCCAGTACAAGAGTGCTCAGACCTTGTATGACGGTGTAGTTGCCCGCTACTCTTCCCCTGCCACTGCTGCGTTGAGCCGCCTCATGCTACCGTACATCTTCCCTGACCTTGCTGCCTTTCCCACAGTCGTTGACCTCATTACGCACCTCCGCACTAGTGACACTCACTACCGCGCTGCGCTTCCTCCTAATTCTGCGCCAAGAACCCCCCCCCCCCCCAATGTACATCACCCTCTACTACATAGTCACCCGGCTCCCTGACTCTCTTTGCGTAGTCAGGGACCACTTCCTCTCAGTTTGCCCCACCACTCTCACCGTTGACCTCCTCGAGAAGGGCCTCCTAGCAATAGAAAAGAGCATAGTCGCTGTAGAAGCCTCTCGTGGTGACCCTCGCACCCCCGTCTTTGAGGGGTGTTCCCCCTCCCTTCTTTTGCCCTCCGTTGCTTCTGCTGCTGCGGCCAACCTCGTTGGTTTCGAGTCGGTCGGCGCTGCGTCTGACCCTAGCGCGAGACGCCGCACCGGCAAGAGCAAGGGGGGCAAGGGCACTGGAGGGGCTGGCGGGGGCGGTGGAGGTGGTGGTGGAGGCAGTGTAAAGGGTGGGGGTGGTAGTGGGAGTGGTGGCCGGGGTGGAGGTTTCAATGGCAGCACTGGAGGTGAAGGAGGCGGCGGTGGCGGAGGGAGCGGAGGCGCCGGAGGTGGCGGAGGAGGCGGAGGTGGAGGAGGCGGCGGAGGCCGCGGCGGAGGCTGTAGTGGACCTCGTCACGGCTCTGAGCAGAGGAGTGGCTCCGGTGGTGGTTTCGCGCCAGCAGCAGCAGAGCAATCGTGAGACCCTGTCCCCTCAGCAGCTTCGTGAGTGGTACGCTGCGCGTCAGCGCGGTGGGGGTACGGGTCCCTGCACCTACGTTCTCCGCACCGACAACCGCGCTGGTGAGCAGTGCGGTGGCCCGCACTCCACCCAGCGCTGCTTCGGCCGCCTGACAGAAGCGTGGCGTCACCAGTTCCCTGGGGCCTCTAAGATCCCTCACTGGGGAGAGCTGTCTAGGGCAGGGGTTGCTATCTTGGATCTTGATTTTGATGCTATTCTTGCTGCCATGTATGCTGTTGATCATAGTGTTGCGGGTGACTGTTACCTGTGTGTACCGCCTGACCCAAACATTGAGGCTGCTGCTCTAGGTGCTAGTGCGTATGCTGCCCTAGGTGCTAGTGCGTCTGCTGCCCCAGGTGCTGGTGAGTCTGCTCTCTCAGGTACTACGTCGGCTCAGGCCTTACACACCTTCACCCTTGACTCAGGTGCGTCCCGCTCCTTCTTTCGAGACCGCAACATTCTTACGCCGCTCAGTCGGCCAGTTGAAGTCTCCCTTGCGGACCCCTCTGGGGGTCCTGTCCTTGCTAGCTTCTCCACTGTCTTACCATGCCCGGCAGCCTCCTCTGGCACACTGTGAGGTCTCTACCTCCCCTCGTTCTCTACGAACTTGGTGAGTGGAGCGGACCTATAGGATAGGGGGGTTGACAAGTTCACTCATGTGAATCAGCGGGTGACCCACTGCACGTGTGCTCGGACAAGCCGACAATTGGCCACGTTCACCCGTCGGCCGAGGTCGAGCCTGTACACCCTTACTACTGAGTCTCCTCCGGCTACTGATTCTGCCCAGGTAGCTGCGTCGAGTCAGGCGTTTGCTGCAGCGTCCAGGTCTGGTTTTGAGTCTGCTCCCTGCTCGTGTCGTCTCCTGTCCCACCAGACTCTCCTTTGGCACCACCGCCTTGGTCACCCCTCCCTGCCTCGTCTCCGAGGCATGGCCTCCCGTGTCCTTGTCTCTGGTCTCCCTCGGTCTCTCCCTCCCCTACCTGCGGGGCCTGGCCCTACCTGCATCCCCTGCATCGAGGGGCGACAGCGCGCCGCCCCTCGCTCCTCCGAGTTTCCTCCGACAGAGGCTCCGCTGCAGACTCTTCACATCGACGTGTGGGGCCCCGCCCGCGTCAGTGGGCAGGGGCGCGAGCGGTACTTCCTGCTGGTGGTTGACGACTACTCGCGTTACACCATAGTCTTCCCCTCTCACAGCAAGGGTGACGTCACTGAGGTGTTGATCGATTGGATCCGCGCAGCTCGTCTCTAGCTCAGGGAGAGTTTCGGCTCGGACTTTCCTGTTCTGCGTCTGCACTCGGACAGAGGCAGGGAGTTTTCCTCTGCCCGTCTGGGAGCCTTCTGTCGTGCACAGGGCATCCGCCAGACCTTCACGCTTCCGGCCTCTCCACAGAAAAATGGGATTGCTGAGCGCCGCATTGGCATGGTCATGGACGTCGCTCGTATGTCTATGATCCGTGCGGCTGCCCCCCATTTTCTGTGGCCGTTTGCGGTTCAGTATGCCGTGCATCAGCTCAACCTTCAGCCCCGGGTCTCCTTGCCAGAGACCTCCCCCGCCTTGCAGTTGACCGGGAAGATTGGCGATGCGTCAGCGTTTCAGATCTGGGGATCTCGGGCGTTTGTCCGCGACTTATCTACGGACAAACTGTCCCCCCGTGCTGTTCCCTACGTCTTCCTTGGCTTCCCCACTGACTCGCCTGGGTGGCAGTTTTACCACCCCACCTCGCGCCGTGTTCTGTCCTCCCAGGACGTCACCTTTGACGAGTCGGTGCCTTACTACCGTCTCTTCCCCTACCGCACTGCGCCCCTCCCCCCGTCGCCGCTTTTTCCTTGCGCCAGGTCCTCCCCCGGTAGACCCCCTCCCCCCTCAGGGTCCTGCCCCGTCAGGTGTGTCCCAGGTAGACCAAGTCGAGGCTGTCGATGCAGCTGTTGACTCTGCTGCTGCTAGACGTACTGAGCCTGCGGGTGCCGGGTCTGAGGGTGCTGAGACTGGGGGTGCTGAGACTGGGGGTGCTGAGTCTGGGGGTGCTGAGTCTATTGGTGCTGAGCCTGGGGGTGCTGGGTCTGGGGGTGCAGAGCTTGGGGGCGCTGGGTCTGCTCGAGTGGCCGCCGGCGGTGCTTCGTCGAGGCGGGAGCTGCTCTCTCCGCCAGAGCTACGCGAGTGGTTTACCCGCCGCTAGAGATGTGCTGCTGGAGCTGGAGGTGCTACTGGAGCTGCTGGGGGTGCTGGCGCTGGTGCGTCTAGGGGTGCTGCTGAGGCTGCTGGAGCTGACGGTCCTACTGGAGCTAGTGCTGTTGGAGCTGGAGCTGCTGGAGCTGGAGCTACTGGGGGTGTTGGCGCTGGCAGTGCTGCTGGCGCTAGTGCTTGTGAGGGTGCTGGAGTTGGCGCTGTTGGAGTTGGAGGTGCTGCTGGCGCTGGTGTTGCCGCTGGCGGTACTGGTGCTGTCCTTGCTGGTTCTGGAAGCGCTGCGCAGCCGAGACCGTACTTCGTTCCGCTCCTGGAGTAGGTTCTTCGTCTCCTGCCCTCTACTGGTCCTGCTTCTCCCTTAGAGTGTCAACAGCCTGTCCAGTAGCAGTCATAGTTACAGCCGGCCTCCCCTCTTTATGCTCCTTCTCCCTACACTGGTCCTACAGGAGGTCTTGCTGAGCGTCGTGAGCCTGCGTCTCGTCCTGCGTTGCCTGTTCATGCTGCTCACACTAGTGGTCGTACTGCGCGTCCGCGTCCGGGTGCGGTCCCCGGCACACACCAGATGGTGCTGCGTCCTTCCACTGCTCCTCTGCGTGTCCCGTTGCCGTCTCCTCCAGAGTCCTCTCGTCCTTCTCTTGCTGACTCGGAGTCTGACTCTCTTCATGCTGCTAGTCCTTCTGTCACGCGTCTCCTGGCTACTGTTGTCACTGACCCTTCCTTTGAGTCCATTGCTGTGTCTGCCCTAGTTGCTGAGCTTGTCGACTTCGCTACTCGCTGTCGTCTAGACTACGCTGCTAGTCTCGTTGCTTAGTCTGAGTCTGTCTGTCCTCCATCCGTTGGGGGTGAGTGTGCTCTTAGCACGGACGTCCTTGAGGACAGGCAGGAGGAGTTCCAGTGCTTTGCTGCTGCTTTGCCCCATCTCGTGTCCACGCTGATTGCCCCTGAGGGAGACCCGGATGCACCAGACATCCCGACTCCTCGATCGTACGCTGAGGCGATCGAGGGTCCCTACTCCTCAAAGTGGCAGTTGGCCATGGACGCAGAGATGGCTTCCTGGAAGTCCACAGGCACTTACGTCGACGCAGCTCCCCCCCCTGGGGCGAACATCGTCAGTGTCATGTGTTTTTTCAGGGTGAAGTGGTCAGCGGGTTCTCCGCCTGTCTTCAAGGCGCTTTACATGGCTCGAGGCTTCAGTCAGCGGCACGGAGTTGACTACTTTTAGACCTTCTCTCCCACCCCGAAGATGACCACTCTTCGGGTGGTGCTGCACATAGCCGCTTAGCGCGACTACGAGCTTCACTCTCTTGACTTCACCACTACTTTCCTGCAGGGCAGCCTGCACGAGGAGATCTGGCTGCGCCGCCTCCCTGGCTTCACTGGGTCGTTTCCTCCTGGTACCCAGTGGAGCCTCCGGCGGCCAGTCTACGGTCTCCGCCAGGCGCCCCGTGAGTGGCACGACACACTGAGGACTTTACTTGCGGCTCTTGGGTTTGCTCCCTCTACATCGGACCCGTCGCTGTTTCTGCGCACCAACACCTCTTTACCGCCGTTCTACATCCTCGGGTACGCCGACAACTTGGTCTTTGCCACAGCTGACACTACTGAACTCGTCCACGTGAATTCCGAGCTGCAGAAGAGACACACGTGCACAGACCGGGGTGAACTGCGCAACTTTCTTGGCTTGCAGATCACCTGGGATAGAGCACAGCGCACCATTACCCTGACTCAGTCATAGATGGTGCAGCAGGTCTTTCAGCGCTTCGGCTTCACGTACTCCTCGCCTCAGGCCACTCCTCTGTCTACTCGCCACTCGCTCTCAGCTCTGCCTTCGGATGAGTCCGTAGAGCCGAGTGGCCCGTACCCAGAGCTTGTTGGCTGCCTCATGTACCTGATGACCTGCACTCGACCTGACCTTGCATACCCTCTTAGCATCTTGGCACACTATGTTGCTCCTGGGAGACACCGTCCAGAGCACATGGCTCCAGCGAAGAGGGTGTTGCGCTACGTGTGCAGTACGTCGGGCATGGGGCTAGTGCTTGGAGGGCGACGTCGAGTGGTCCTCACAAGTCACGCAGACGCTTCTTGGGCTGAGAACCAAGCTCAGGAGTAATCGTCACAGGGTTACACCTTCAGCCTTGGCTCCGGCGTTTTTTTCGTGTTGGTCTACCCGCTCGTCTTCTGTTCTCAGCTCCGGTTGTGAGGCTGAGATCTACGCAGGGGCCATGGCTGCACAGGAGCTCCGCTGGCTCACCTACCTGTTGACTGACCTAGGAGAGCCGCCTCGTTCTCCTCCATTTCTGCACGTAGACAACAAGGCCATGCTGGCCTTGTGTCGGGAGCACAGACTGGAGCACAGAACGAAGCACATTGCTCTCCGCTACTTCCTGGCTCGTGAGCTGCAGCAGCGTGGTTAGCTCCGCCTCACCTACGTGGCCTCTGAGGCCAACACTGCTGATATCTTCACCAAGGCCCTTCCGCCTTGTGATCATCAGCGCTTCTGTACTTTGCTAGGTCTTGTGCCTACTTGGCCTCACTTGCTCACTTCTTGATCTTGTTTGTACTGTACTCTTTCTATACCTGCACTTGCTTCTTTACCTTTATATATATGATCTTGCATGTAAACTGGCCTTGCGGCCTTACTCTTGCGCTCAGACTGTGTGGTGACGTTGTGATCCACCCTGAGCTTGCTTTGCTTTGCTTGACTGGTCTTGTGACCCCTTGTTCTCCCCCACTTTGCCTATGGGGGTGTGTCAGGCTTATATGCTATAGTTTGTGTAGGCTGTAGTGGGGCAGCTCATATGGGGTACAACACTTTAGGGTTTACTACTTGTACTCCTCATTCTGCTCAATGCATTCATTCTCGTTTCTCGTAAGAATCCGTTTGCTTATGGTGATGGATCGTCATCCATTCTTGCACGGACATTCAACAAGGTGCTTAGAGGGAGTGGTATGAAGCACAGGCCCTACGCACAAGCGGTGATGCATTATCGAAAGCCATGTTTAGAATGTGCGACGATGCATTGTTCAGGCCTGCGGATTGCATGACATGGTGAATCCGTTTGCGTATGGTGATGGATTGTCATCCATTCTTGCACGGACATTCAACAAGGTGCTTAGAGGGAGTGGTATAAAGCAGAGGCCCTACGCACAAGCGGTGATGCGTTATCGACAGCCATGTTTAAACTGTGCGACGATGCAGCGTTCAAGCCTGCGGGTTGCGCGACATGGTGAATCCGTTGTGGTTTGGCGTTGGATTGTCATCCATTCTTGCACAGATATTAAACAAGGCGCCCAGAAGGAGTGGTATGAAGCACAGGCCCAACGCAGAAGCGTAGATGCGTTCTCGACATCGCTGTTCCGACGCGGCAACGTTGCAGCGTTCAGGCTCGTGGCTTACGCGACATGGTGAAACGGTTGTGGAATGGTGTTGCTTCCTAGATGGTAGCAGACCACACTAACGGTGTTGTTTCTAAGCACTGCCGTTGTCAATATGCCGAAAGGTATTGAGCATGCCGTAAAGTATGGTCGTATAATCGTTATGAGTGACATTAAGTAATTTGTTTTATGTAACTGTACAGTGGTATTTCCTGCTTTGGATTAAGGCTATGGGGGTGCGCACCACTTTGGGCACACCTACGTGATCGCGATCTCCCCCCTATAGAGACTCTCGAAAGAATCACAACACCAAACAGATCTCTTCCTTCTCTTCCTCTCCCACCTGGACTCTCACACTCGATTCAAAAACCGAAGTTTTGAATATGGAGGCACGTACTCTTCACCGTGCTCGTCACGCATGCTTGCGACCAAGCTAGCTGTACACCACTGCATAAGGCCCTGCTCATGTCGTAATCACTCTAACAGGGGGCGACACGCCTTGTAGAAGAGGCCTATGCCGTGCTGTCGGCGGTTTGTATCTAGGCATGTCACGGCCGCGCTGCGCGACCATTGGTAGCCAGTCTCTCACTAATGCGCCACGATCAAGTGCCAGGCGTGCAGAGATCCAAGCCGCCGTGGACACTTCGCGCTGTGGCGATGACCGTGTTGGAGTCTGAGCCTTCATTGACCGTGAAGTAAAAGCGTTTACAAGCTTCAAACTGGCTAGTCTCCTCACACTACATTCCACCACACTTAGACGGATCTAGAATACATGGGCTCTTTGCCAGGCGTAGTTTACGAGTTCTGCAACAGATGGTTCCCCAACGCCAAGGTTTATGGCGGCCATAAGTCACGGCGGACCCCTTGTCAAAAGCTTTCCGCCGTGGCAAGGCCCTCCTCGTCGGCACCGTCCGCCGGTCTACACACTCTGCTATTCGTCCACGACATACAGTCAGATGCTCCCGCTGCACCCGCTTCCCCTACCGCGTCTAACGCGTCCAACACCGACGGTGTGAATGGTCCTCGTCGCGTGCTTGAAGCTGACGGGGACGCAACACCCTCGGCTGTGAATGTGGGGGCTCTTGAAAGTGAGCATCAACCGCCTCCCAGAACACATGCCTCTGACACGAGTGAGCATCCGGAGAGCCGCCGTAAAGAGAGTCATGCCGCACCGCCGACATGCATCTCTGGGCAGAGCAATGCCACGCCCCTCAATCCGCTTGCGTTGAAGCTGCTGCATTTCGTGCGACGCGTAAATGGTGGAATGGGAATGGCGGAGATCAACATCAATGGCCTACTTCAGCTCGTGGTGGAGCCCGGCCTTGCGCCTCTTGTGATCTCAGAGATCTGGAACAGCAAGGATTTGGAGCAGTTCGAGATGGAGCGCTTGGTCGGGCTCAATCGCGGATGGTCAGTGGCGACCTTCGAGATTGACGGTCATCCGCCACAGCGCCTTCTCTTCTAGAACTGTGCGCAGGTATTTTGAATCTAAATCTGTAGCTGTGAAATGCATATTCCGCATCCATTTGGTGCTTGTTGAGCGTTGCCTCTTTAGGCTTGTCTGAGATCTGCCCCACCTTCAACGCCACTAACCAGGGTTTGGTTCTCTCCTGCTCTTGCCACTGTACGCCAGGCGTTTGCCGAACTGTTTGGGCATACCAACAACACGCCCGGCTTCAAGCTCAAGGCTCGTGTCGATGAGGACCCTGACACAAGCGAGTGTCGCTATACCACGCCAGAAACTAGAACGTGGTGGAACGATGCTCAGGTATAGAAATACCGCGTTGCCACCCAAAACCAGAAGAGTGCGTATGCCTCCATTGATGCGCTGATGTGTGGGGAGCATCTTCTATGTGTCATGTTTGTGGGGAGTTCTTTGAAGCATGCTTAGTCCGCCTGGCGACAAGTTGCCTTGTTGGTGTTTGACCGTGTGCCTTTTCCCTCCTTGTCATGCTTTGCAGGAACACTTTGGATGGTCCGAAGTCGTGGGGGGTATCATCCTATACTCAGATGTGACGCACATGAGCAACAACGGCTGGAAGAAGGCGTGGCCGCTAATGAGGACGCTTGCAAACATCTCCCAGGCCAAGGGATGGGGGAAAGCCGGACACACGCTACTTGCTCTCCTTCCTATCCCCCCTTCTACAATGTCTGCCGTGGAGAAGGTGATGCTCTTCCAGCGATGCGTCATCACCGTGCTGTAGCCGCTTCTCGATGGCATGGAAAGGTCCGTACTCTATTTCCGTCTTGCTATGTCGTCACCCAATCAACGTCATAGTATGCGCAGTGTTTCGGTATGTAACAGTCCCCCTTGTCCCTCTTCGCCGATGCACACAGGCGGAATCCCTGTTCCTATTGCCACAATACCTGTTCCTTGCAGCGGGTTCCGTCTCAGGGACCCTTTCGGTGATGGGCAAACTGTGCGGCCCCTGCTGTATGTCAGTAGATCTGCACTGTGGATGCCCGATTGATCCTACGGGGGGTTACAAGCGCGTTCGTCTGGGGGGTTATGGGCGCACTCTGACCCGCTACTTAAAAAGCACTTTTATCCCAATGGTCTAGTGGTTGGGGTTCTGACATGGTATCAGAGCGGTCTCGGGTTCGAATCCCGGTGTATGCACATGTAGGCCGTTGCCGCTGTGCTCAGTCCTGGGCCTCCCACTGTGGGGGGATGTCAGTAGATCTGCACTGTGGATGCCCGATTGATCCTACGGGGGGTTACAGGCGCGTTCGTCTGGGGGGTTATGGGCGCACTCTGACCCGCTACTTAACAAGCCCTTTTATCCCAATGGTCTAGTGGTTGGGATTCTGACACTGTACGCCTGGGTGTGCGACTACCCTGAGAGCGGCAAGATCAGTTGCACACTCTCGCATGGATCGAGGAAGCCGTGCAGCATCTGCTCATCCTGAGCCTGACTTAGTTCGTGGTACCAGTCCTACTGTCACGCGTCTCCTAGCCACTGTTGAAACTAGCCCTTCGTTTGAGTCCACTCCTGCGTCTACCTTAGTCGTTGAGCTTGTTGACTTTGCTGCTGCTTGCCGTCTCAACTACGCCGCTAGTCTTGTTGTTACGGGTGAGTGTGCTCTTGGCACGGACGTCCTTGAGGACAGGCAGGAGGACTTTGAGTGTCTTGCAGCTGTTGTACCTCATCTCGTGTCCATGCTGCTTGCACCTGAGGGAGACCCGGATGCTCCAGACATCCCGACCCCGTGCTCTTACGCCGAGGCAGTTACAAGTCCCTACTCCTCTCACTGGCAGACAGCCATGGACGAAGAGATGGCATCCTAGAAGTCCACAAGCACTTACGTCGACGCAGTTCCCCCTCCTGGGGCGAACATAGTCGATGGCATGTGGATTTTCATGGTGAAGCGGCCGCCGAGTTCTCCGCCTGTCTTCAAAGTTCGTTACGTTGCACGAGGCTTTAGTAAGTGACAGGAAGTTGACTTCTTCCAGACCTTCTCCCCTACCCTGGAGATGACCACTCTTTGGGTGCTACTGCATGTCGCCGCTCAGCGTGACTACAAGCTTCACTCTCTTGAGTTCAATACAGCTTTCTTACAGGGTAGCCTGCACGAGGAGATCTGGCTGCGCTGCCCACCTGGCTTCACTGGGTCGTTTCCTGCAGGTACGCAGTGGAGCCTCTGGCGGCTAGTCTACAGTCCCCGCCATGCGCCTCGTGAGTGGCACGATGCACCGAGGACGACACTTGCGGCTCTTGGGTTTGCTCCTTCGAGTGCTGACCCGTCACTAATTCTGCGCACCGACACTTCGCTGCCGCCGTTCTACATCATCGTGCACGTCGACGACTTGGTATTTGCCACTGCTGATACTGAGGGACTGGCCCTTGTGAAGTCAGAGCTGCAGAAGAGACACACATGCACAGACCTGGGTGAGCTGCGCAGCTATCTTGGCTTGCAGATCACCCGGGACAGAGCATGCCGCACCATCATCTTGACTCACATGGTGCAGCAGGTCCTTCAGCGCTTCGGCTTCACTTGGTCCTCGCCACAGTCCACTCCTCTAGCTACAGGTCACTCGCTCTCAGCTCCACCTTCGGACGAGTCTGTTGAGCCGAGTGGCCCATATCCAGAGCTAGTACTTTGGGTTGCTAGGTTGTGATCAATGTACTGCTTATTTATATATATATAACTCTGCATTTTAACTGGCCTTGTGGCCACTTGCTTGTGCTCAGAGTGTGTGGTGACTTCGTGATCCACCTTGAGCTTTCTTTGCTTTTCTTGACTGGTCTTGTGACCCCTTGTTCTCCCCCACTTTGCTTATAATGCAAACTATAATGGTGCTTATGTTGTGTAGGTTGTAGTAGGGTAGCATATATGGGGTACAACCCTTTTAGTTTCTAACAAAATTGTTTGTGGTTGTAAGTCAAGGGGGATACAAAAGTAACCTAGGATGGGTTGTACCCTCTAGGGGCAACTCACTGTAGCCCAGAAACCTAACAATGCATATGAACATTATCTCACACCCCCCCATAGGCTAAGTGAGGTGCATCCAAGAACTCGTAAGGGAAACAACGGTCACAAGACCAGTCAAGTGCAAGCAACAAAGCAAAGCTTAGGGTGGCACTGAGAGTCACCATTTACTCCGAGCACAAGCAAGTGGCCACAAGGCCAATTCAAGAGTTTACTAGGACATATATAGAAGCACAACAAGCAGAGCAAACAGCAAGTCTACAGCAATCGAGGGCCTACCTCAACAAGCCCCAGCTGGACACTGAACCTGTGGTGGTCACTAGGCGCCAAGGCCTTAGTGAAGACGTTGGCTGTGTTGGCCTCTGAGGCCACAAATTCCAAGCGTGCCTGGCCGCGTCGTTGCAACTCTCGCATGAGCAAGTACCTCGCGTTAATATGCTTCACTCTGCTCTCCAATTGAGGCTCTCGACACAGGAGGATCATAACCTTGTTTTAGTGTAGAAGGTCGGTGCGGTGCGAGACAGCTCACCAAGGTCGGTGAGCAAAAAGGCCAACTAACGAAGCTCCTGTGCCGCCATGGCACCGGCGTAGATCTCAGCCTCTGCACTGGACGAAGCTATCTCATCAAGCGGTGCCTTAGCCGTCGCCTCCGAACTAGAGAACGGGAATCGGGTGAACTTGGCTTGCATGCACGTCGGGCAGCCAAGTACCTCATTGGGCTCCCCCTTTACACGTATGCCAGCAACCATCTCATTCTTCACTAGCTGCTGCAAGATGGGCAGGGCCACATGCCCCATGCGCCGATGCAAGGTGAGCCAATCACACTCCCCCGTAGCCGAAGTTGGATTGGAGAATGCCGCGCTCGCAATAGCGCCCCACATACTCTCTCTGTAGTCCTCCTCCGCTGCTGCCTTAGGGTTCTCCTCAACCTTTTGCTGCTCCTTGGTTGCTGCACCACTCTCCTTAGGTTCACTGAACTTGCTGGTCCCTCCAGGTTTGCTCTTCTTGAGCTCATTCTCCTTAGCGCGACCGTTCGCGCCATCGTCGCTACCAACCGCTCCATCCTTGGTGCTGATGCTTGCTGCCACTTGCCTCTCCTTAGGCATAGGGACCACTAGGATCTGCCACATCTCGTTGTATACATTCCTGTCCTCATGAAGGTCCCAAAGAATTCGATCGCCAAGCCTTGCGGTGTAGATTTTGGCTCTCTTCGAGTTCGTGTCCATGCCGGCCTTTGCCAACCGCCGCACGGAAATCAGGTTTGCAGCAAGGCTGGGCACCCAAATCACGTTCTTGAGGCCCACCATCTTCCCATCAGCACCCTTGAACATGGCCTTCCCCATGCATTTCACCTCTGCTCGCTGCCCCAAAGCCGATGTGACATGCTTCACCGGTGACGGCTCGAGTTCAGTGAGCAAGTCCGGGCGAGGTGTCATGCTATAGGTAGCGCCACTATCAATCACCCAAAAGTCCAGGGGGTGTAGGGTCACCTTCCCCACAGCTGCTGGCTCCTCAAAGCCTTCATCCTTCTCTGGATCAGCCGGTACTTGCGTCAACACGAAGTAGAATAGACCCGGGTATCGATCGTCGCTCGGGTCCTTGTCGTTGTCTCCGCTCTTCATGTTTGCAGCTCCGCCACCGCGACCGCCACGACCTCCACGGCCTCTTCCTCTCCCTCCACCTGCTCCTCTACCCTCTTGGCCTTGAGCAGGGGTCCAACCATCGGGGAGTTTGTAGCAGTCGCGCCACATGTGTCCGCTCTTGTGGCAATACTGACACTCGCCGTCGAATCGGCCGCGACCGCGTCCGTAGCTCTTGTCATCGCTGCCGTAACCGCCACTCCCGCGGCCTCCGCCGAAGTTGCTGCCACCAAACCTTCCTCCCCCTTGTCCTCTACCTCTTCCTCGACCATATCCACGGCCGATGCTCGCTGTCCCAGCGCCATCCGCACTCGCCAACTCACGGCGGCGGAAATCCTCTTGAAGGATAGCTCGCTTCATGTCTTCAAGCGAGAGGCGGGGCAAGTCGCGATTAAGGTTGATGATGAGCGAGGACCATGACTCAAGGAGTAGGGCCAGCAACTTGGTCTTCTTTTGGAGCTCACTATAGTTCAAATCAGCTCCCTCAAGCCGCGTCAACAAGTCAAAGAATTTCTGCACCCCTTCTTCAACCGCTTCATCCTCTTCAATTCGTAGTGTCGCCATTTGCAGTTCCAACACCACAGCTACCGCGGCTGTTGCAGGAGCGTGCACACCCTTGAGAGCAGCCCATGCCTTTTGTCTCTTCTTTGGTTCACGCTGAAAGGCTTGATGTGACGGATTTGGCTGCTCCCCAACACTTGACCTAGTAGGAGGTAGCCTTGTGCACTCTTCCGCACCCACGGGCTCTTCTCTGGGTCGTTCTCGGGACGCTTCTCCGTTCCTTCCATCACCTCAAGCAGGTCATAGTGAACAAAAACGTTCTCAATTCTGAAGGACCACTCAGCAAAGTTGTCACTGTTGAACTTGTCAAGGCCAAACACTCTAGGCTCGTCCCTAGATGGGCCAACACCTGGTTGCACGGGCGCCATGGCTTAGTCACGAGGTTGGCCTTGAGCTTGGGCTTCTCCACTGCCACCAGCACCTCTGCCACCCCTTTCCTCAGGTCCAGCCATTGTCGAAACTGCTCCAAGGGGCTCTGATACCACTTGTTATAGTCACAGTAGGCTCCAATGTGCCTAAAACGAAAGATAGAGTGCATAGTCGGATTTCTTCACAGCGGCTTCAAACGTTCATAGCGATTTGCTCACAACTCCAAATGACTTCATTCAACTTGGATCTGGAGCACCTTAACGTTGCCTACAATAGGCAATTTGGATCGCACGCTTTCATTAAGAACTGACGACACAGCGTTGATTTGAACGAATGGCAATATGGCAGCAACATAGTCTTAGAACACAAGATAGGAAGAGTTAGGAAGAGTTACGAGTTGGGAATGACTCCCAGCTCCTACAAACCCCAAGAGCCGAGGTACAGTGATGTGGAACAGTGCCACACTGTCCCCAACCACGAAGGGTCTCGAAACTACCCTTCACTAGGGCCTACACCAAGTGAAATGTTACACTACACAAAGTAATGTAACTATCTTCAATATCTTGAGGTGCACCCTTTTGGCGAGCTTCGAAATCACTTGAGGCTTGACACCAAGGCTCGGGCTCTTCATCACAAACTCATCCTTGAGTTCTTGATGGGTCTTCTGCACACACCTGCGACACGCCGAACGTTCGACACAGGACAAAATAGAAACCGCGCACGACAAAATAGAAACCGCACGCGAGACACAAACGACCACGTAACGCGCGTCTAGCGATAACTCGCTATTGACTCGACACACACACTCGACATCATGACTCAACATTCACACACAATTGTAAACATGACATATATATTATCCCATGCCCTCATACCATTCCATACACACACACATGCACGCACACGGACAACAAACCGAGTGCAAACCATAGGGTTGCACCAACAGGTGGTGCACCTCTTTGTTTGCTATATGTACCCTAGGGCTATAGTGAACATTCATTCTCCTCTCATCTCTCAACTCTTCCTCCTTGGCACAAACTAGCTCGACCGCCTTTGGCCTAGGCTACTAAGCCTAGGCCCTCTTAAACCTAACTACCTACTCCTACTATTCTGATATGGTATTAGAGCCTGTTAAGTCCTGACCTGTGGGCCAGCCTCTCGCTTCCGCTGCTTTTTTTCCTGTCGCGCGCCTCAGGCGCGTGGCGATTTTCATTGTGTTCCACGCCCGGGTGGCGTGTGACGTTTTTTCTGCCCGTCGCAGACCCGCCCCTGGCGCTTGCGACGGTGTCCTGAGTCGCCGCGGACCCGCCCCTAGTGCCCGCGACGGTGCCCTGAGCCGCCGCGGACCCGCCCCTGGCGCCCACGATGGTGCCCTGAGCCGCCGCGGACTCGCCCCCGGCGCCCGCGACGGTGCCCTGAGCCGCGGCGGACCCGCCCCTGGCGCTCGCGACGGTGCCCTGAGCCACCACGGACCCGCCCCTGGCGCCCGCGACTGTGCCCTGAGCCGCCGCGGACCCGCCCCTGGCGCCCGCGACGGTGCCCTGAGCCGCCGCAGACCCGCCCCTGGCGCTCGCGACGGTGCCCTGAGCCACCGCGGACCCGCCCCTGGCGCCCGTGACGGTGCCCTACGCCACCGCGGACCCGCCCCTGGCGCCTGCGACGGTGCCCTGAGCCGCTGCGGACCCGCCCCTGGCGCCCGCGACGGTGCCTCAACCTCACCCCGCGCCTGCACTCACTGCAGCCGCCCCTGCCCTACCCGCGCCAACCCTTTGTAGCCGCTCTGCGGCTTTATCCCCCACCCCACCCCCCACCCCCCTTGGTCTCCCTGCAGCATGGGGGGGAGCTCTGGGGGTGGCGGGTGTGGGGGTGATGGGTGGTGTGTTTAGTTTCCCCTCCTCCTCCTTTCGTTCCCACTGCTGCAGCTGCTGCTGGGGGGGAGGGTGTGAGGGTGTGGGGGAGCCAGGGGAGTGGCACTGGGGTGGCGGGTGTGAGACCAACCGGCCGCCGTCCCTCTGAGGTTGTGGGGGAGGGGGGGGGGGGGGAGGAGAGTAAAGGGGTGGCAAGAGTGCCTGCCCCTTTGCTGTTGTACCTGCTCTGTTGCCTTGCCTACTGTTGCTATTTTCTCTGTCTGTGGTGTACCCCTGCATGTTGTGTTCTGCACTTAGCTATTCCTGCATGCAATCACGGGGGGATGTCAGAATCATATTCTTATACCAGCATGTAGTTCTAGCTGTAGTGTAGATATTGACTTTATAGGTGGTGTGCCTCTTTGTTTGCTATATGTACCCTAATGCTATAGTGAACATTCATTCTCCTCTCATCTCTCAACTCACCCTCCTTGGCACAAACTAGCTCGACCCCCTTTGGCCTAGGCTACTAAGCCTAGGCCCACTTAAACCTAACTACCTACTCCTACTATTCTAATACAGAAGACGAGCGGATAGACCCCCAAGAAACAGAGCCGCAGCCAAGGCTGAAAGTGTAACCCTGTGACGACCACTGCGTAGCCTGGTTATCAACCCAAGAAGCGTCTGAGTGTCCAGTAAGGACAACTTAGCTCCGCCCTCCAAGCACGAGCCCCATGCCCGATGTACTGCACAAATAGCGCAGTACCCTCTTCGCAGCATCCATGTGCACCTTTCGGTGCCTACCAGGAGCCACGTAGCTTGCCACAAGGCCAAGAGGGTAACTCCGTGCAGGTCATCAGATACATGAGGCAGCCCACTAGCTCTGGGTATGGGCCACTCGGCTCTACGGATTCGTCCGAAGGTGGAGCTGAAAGCGAGTGACCTGTAACCAAAGGAGAGGACTATGGCGAGGACCAAGTGAAGCCAAAGCGCTAAAGGACCTGTTGCACCATGTGTGATTGAGTCAGGGTTTAGGTGCGCCGTGCTCTATCCCGGGTGATCTGCAAGCCAAGGTAACTACGCAGCTCACCCTAGTCTGTGCACATGTGTCTCTTTTGCAGCTCCGACTTCACAAGGGTGAGAGCCTCAGTCTCAGCAGTGGCAAAGACCAAGTCGTCGGCGTACACGAGGATATAGAACGGCGGGAGTGAAGTGTCGGTGCGTAGAAACAGCGACGGGTCAGTACTGGAAGGGGCAAACCCAAGAGCCGCAAGTGTCATCCTCAGTGTGTCGAGCCACTCACGAGGCGCCTTGACGAAGACTGAAGACTAGTCGACGGAGGCTCCACTGGGTACCAGGAGGGAACGACCCAGCGAAGCCAGGCGGGTGGCGCAGCCAGATCTCCTCGTGCAGACTGCCCTGTAAGAACGCTGTGCTGAAGTCCAGATGGTGAAGCTCGTAGTCACGCTGAGCGGCAACGTGCAACAGCACCCAAAGAGTGGTCATCTTTGGGATTGGGGAGAAGGTCGGGGGAGTGGTCAACTCCCTGTCGCTGACTGAAGCCTCGTGCAACGTAACGAGCCTTGAAGACATGCGGAGAACCCGGCGGGCTCTTCACCCAAAAAATCCACATGCCATCGACGATGTTCGCCCCAAGAGGGGGAACTGTTGATTGCACAGGTGGTTGTGGTATTTTGCTCTAGCTGGTTGTGGGCTAAGGGTTTGGGCAAAATGTGGTGGTTAGACTTGTTGCGGGCTGGAATTGATCTCGCACGCAACAAGCACCAACAAAGCTTTGCTATTCACTACAACAACTTTGGTGTTGCTAGTTTAGCACTTTGGCTTCTTGGGGATTGTTCTAGGTCGACGGTTGGGTTGGTAGGGTTTGAACAACTTGTCACTTTTCAGATCTGAACTCTTGCTAAAGCTACTTTCTTGATCTAATCCATGCCTGCCAAGTAATTTCGCCAGGATACCGCGTCGCACTTAGATCGCGATAGCGATCGGCCTAGGTCTGGTTGAAGGCGTGCGTTATCATTCTGGAAAGTAGAAATGAAGCCCTTTCCAACTCGTACCTGCTCATAGTTTAAGGTTACGTGAGCTGCACGCAATGTTCCGTCGAAGTCGGCGGACTTGATCTCTTGTACTCTCTCCAAATTCGCTCGCTTTTCATCAGTGGCATCAGAGCTGGTTAGGCCTGCGACATTCCCTCCTATTATCACATTATGAATTGGCTTAAGAATCTCCAGATCTAGGGCTGGTTATGGCCCAGAAATTAGATCGCCCTCCTAGGTTCACCGGCTCGGATTTTTTGCTATGGCGGTTCCAGTTTACGCTCTAGCTAGGTATTAAAGACGTAGAGGGTGTTTTGGAGGGATCGGAGCGGAGACCTGAAGCTGATGAAGGAAAGGCATCTACTGGAGTCTCTAGTCAAGTGAGAGAAGGGGCTGGGGGAGCCTCTAGCTCATCCATAACTGAGGGAAGTGGAGGTGGATCAGCAGCACCGCGAACCGGAAGGCAACGGCCTAGTGCGGAGGTGCTTATCAAGGCACAGGAAGCATGGGACCGCAAGGACAAGCAAGCGTTCCAGTACCTGTGTTGGGCCTTGGAAGGCCAACTAGAGCTCTTAAAGATGCTGATTGACCTGAAGGGGAAGCAAGGAGCAGCTGCCCAATCATGGAAGAAAGTTCAAGATCGCCATCTGCAAAAGGGACTGCTAAGCATACTTACATGGAGGAAGCGGTTTTACACCATGGAACACAACTATGGTGATGGGGAGATCATGGTGCAGTATCTCCAGAGGGTGGATGAGCATGTGAGAGCCCTAGAGGATTTGAACTACACTGTGGATGAGAAGGAGATCATCTACACCGCACTCCAGGGGCTGGGCCAAGAGGCGAACGAGGCCCTACTGCAATACCTTCACCTTGAGCAAAGAAATGGACCAAGGCCTGGATATGGGAGGTGTTGGTCTCTGATGAGGCTCGCAAAAGGGATGCTGGTAGAGGAGTTGAAGGGGGAATGGGGGCAGGGGATAGGGCTGCCTCCAAGAAATACCAGCAGCAGCAAGGAGGTGGGGGGAAGAAGAAGGATCTCGACAAGTGCCTCGTCCCTGGATGCAACCGAAAGCACTCTTGGAAGGAGTGTTGGAGCCGACCAGATAGGTGGAAGCCTCAAGGGTACCCAGGAGAGGCTTCACCTGTCACTAGGCCTGAGTGGGTGCAGAGGAGGATGAAGAATGGAGCATGGAACAAGAAAGGCAGCAAAGAGAAAGCGGCAGCAATGGTGGCAAATGAGGATAAGAAGGGAAAGGAGGACTTAT